GGGGGGGGGGGGGGGGGGGGCACAACCCCACCGTGGGACAGAAGGGTGTTTGGAGTTGTCTTTGCAAAACGTCAGGGAGAGGGCCAAGATCCCCACGCGTGCCCAGGGCAGCAGCAAGCTGACCCCCGTGGGCAGGACTTGGCCCTGAGGGTCCCTCATGATGGTTGATGATGTGGAGGAGGAAAGAGCCCAGCTCGGCGCTCGAGTCTCACCGCAGGCTGCCAGGGCCAGGCAGGGGGTGGCTGGTGGCAGCTGCTACCACCGTGCCCCAGCCCCAGGTCGCAGGGTCGTGCCCGGGTTTGGGTTACCCACCCAGCGGGGAGGGTGCCAAGGGCAGGCACTGCACCGGGGAGGGACCCAGCAGGCAGCCGCGGGCAGGAGTCAGGGGACCCCGAGCAGTGGGATGGGGCGAGTGGCTCTGGAGGCAGCAGCTGGTCCCCTTGCCCCAGGGCAGTGATGACACTGCCCAACCTGTGCAGCTCCCTCGGCACAGCCCCGGGACCAGTGTCCCCAGCACAGACCTCACTGTCACCTGGCACAGACTTCCCAGCACAGACCCTACCATCCTCCGAACCTGACGCAGACCACCAGAACCACCAGCCATCCCCACTACGGCCCAAAAGTCCCCCCAAGCACAGATCCTGTTATTTGCCAGCACAGACCCATACACCCCGCACAACCCCCCGCCATCCCCCAGAGCCAACAGTCCCCCTCTGGACCCACCAGAGCTGTGACCCTGCTGGTGTCCCCCCATACTCCACAAGGGACAGGGCACCCACCCTTGCTGGGGAACCCATCCCACCCATAGAGACCCCAACTCTGCTGGGGACCCACCCTGACCCTGGGGATCCATCCTTGCCTAGGGGACTCATCCTGCCAGGGCAAACTGTCCCCGCCCGGGGGACCCGTCCCCACCAGCAGCTCCCGGGGTGGCTGCAGCCCCGTGCAGCCGCAGGGTCTGGTTCCCTCCCCAGCAGCAGCCGCTAATTCAGCGCAGCTGGGCAAGGGCTGGGCATGTGTCTTAAATCAGGGAAGAAGGTCAAAGAAAAGTAAGACAGGAGCCGAAAAAAGCAGCAGCGAGTTCCAAAAACAATACTTGGCCGGGGCGGTGGGCGGCTGATCTTCCTTGGTGGCCAGTTATTCAGATGAGCCCTACAAATTGCTGCCATCCCCCGGCCCCGCCACCCTCCCCAGGCAGCCGGCAGCAGAGTTTGGCCACAGGGCTGCGAGGGGGACCACGCCACTGTCCCTGTCTCAGGCCTCCTGCCACTCTGGGCACCACTGCAGGCAAGTCAGGCAAGAACCAGGTTATCCCTGCTGGGGGAGGCAGCACTCTTGGGTGCTGCTCACCCTCGCTGCGGGGGCCAGGTGATGCTCGGTGCCCTTCCACAGGGCAGAAAATGCAAATGTCCCAGTTTCTGTGGGGCTCTGAGCAGGCACTGGCTTTGTCCCCCCTCATCATGGTGCCAAGGATGTTCAATTCCCACTCGGAACCCCCAGAAACCTGCTGCGTGCAGAAGCCCTGATGGCCCTTGGTGCCCCTGAAGCCACTGTGGCCCCCCCGGGCCCCCAGGATTACGGCAGGACGAGCACTGCACCGAAAGCCAATCAGCCCCTCGCCAACTTTCCCTCCTGCCCAGCTTATCCGGCGCCGCTGCCGCGCAGAGTTAAGCTGCTTTAGCGGGGCCAGGCGAGGGCAGCCGGGGGGCACCAGGACAGCCGGTGGGATGGCTGCAGCAGGGTGCCAAGGGGACAAGCTAACACACTTGGGGACCGTCCCTGTGCCCTGCATCCCCACCGGCACCACGCAGGGGTGAGCCTCTCGGCTGGGCACAGCGCCCTGGCCTGACACCGGCGCCGCTTTGGAAAGCAAAGGCAGGGATGTGCCATCTGTCCCTGTCCCCCATCCCTGCCGGCCCCCTACCCCAGGCGGCAGCACAGAGCGCCGGCAAAGGGCTGGTTAAGTGTTTCTCCTGCTGTTTTTCCTTTACGGGGCTGGGAAGCAGAGACGTGCTGCAATACCCCAGACGAGGCTGCTCCCGGGGCACTTCCGGATGGGAATCTGGCAGCAGAGCCTGTGCTTGGGCCTCATCCAGCCCGGGCTTGCAAAGCCCCACAACCCGGGGGGCAGCTTGCCTGTGTCGGGGTGCTGCCGGCCCCAGCACAGGGCCCCCGTCACCCCCCCCTTCCACAGGCTTTCCGTGCCAGATGCTGCAAGGGGAAACTGAGGCATGGTCAAGCCTGGCTCTGTCCTGTTGCAGTCCTGCCGTGGAGCGGGGAGGGGAAGGAGCCATCTGCATGGAGCTGTACCAGGATTAACTCCTCTGGCAGCCGGGGTTTTAGCAGCACCAGGAAGCTGGTGGGGGCACAGCCAAGGCTCCTGCCTGTCCTCACCACGGCTGGTGCTGGGGCTCTGTGCTGCGGCTGCCCGGCGGTGCTGGGTGCCTTCCCCCCTGGAGATGGTGGGGGATGCTCTGTGCCACACAGAGACACAGCACCAGGCATGGGTACTGTGGCTGGGCACCGTGGCAAGGGCTGGCCAGGCCTCTGAGCATCCTCCTCTCGAACACCTTGTCCAAACAGGTCGGGCTCAGCAAAACAGCCTGAATTTTCCAATGAAAAGAACATGTCCTCAGGAAATTCCCAAGCAGTTTTCATGGTGGGGTGTGGGCGAGGGAGGTGGAGGAGGAGGAGGACAGGAGGGATCAGTCACCTTGGCAACTTGTGTTGTTCCCCACCAGCCCGGCCCCGGCCCCGGGGAAGAGCAGAATGCCATCCCCACCGCGGGCAGGGAGCGATGCGGGGCGACCTCGCCGCATCCCGGCTCTGCAGGGACCACACAGGGTTTATTTTATGAAAGGATGCTCAGCCTCCCCACCAGCCAGCCACACACCTCCAAACTGCTGCCGGCTCCCACGGCCGCTGCTCCTGCCAGGTCCCACTCCCCGCGGCCTCGCGAGCCTGGGCAGGGGCTGGCAAGTTTGGCACCGGGCACCATGCCACAGGAAGCCTCGGCGTGGCGGCGGGGGGGATGCAGCTAGAGAGATGGTGGTAATCCTGAAAATCCCGAAATCCCAGTATCCAAAAGGAGCATGGCAGGAACTCACTCCTCACCCCAGCCACAGTTTCCCTCTGCCCGAGTCCATGGGTGCCCCTGCACAGACAAAACGCTCTCACACAGCCTCAACAAAGCCTCCAGTAGCTGCCTCTTAACTGTTTGCCGAAGCGGCTCTCAGTAATAAGTTAACCTGGTAATGAGACCTGTTGCCGAGACAGATGCAAATGATTGGGAAGTGCTCATTAGAGGGGATGGAAGGAGGCACTTAGGTCCTGAAAAGCACCCAGCCCTTCCTGGGGCCAGCCCTGCACCATATTAGAGCCCATTTTACAATAATTGCTCCAGAGGAGGAAATCTATTTGGATTCATCATAAAGTATTTATTAACAAGAGCTTATTCATAATTTTTGTTGCTCGGCGGCATGGCGCAGCCAGGCTTCCCAGCCTGCTCGGCAAGTCCTAACGAGGCTTCCCTGGCCCTGGAGAGCAGTACCGCTATGCTGGGGGGGTGGAAAGGGAAATCGAGGCATGTTGGGCATGGGACAGCAGGAGGGAGCTCCCAGAACGCAGCCGGTGACGACAGGAGCTGTGCTGGGCTCGTCCGTGCACACCCGTCCCCGCGCTGGAGCTGCCCGTGGGGCAGAACAGGCTGTCGTGGTGATGCTCCCCTCAGCTCCCGGCCTCGGCAGCTGAGCTGGGGTGGGGGCGACCCAGCCCCACGCTTGCAAAACCCCTCTCGAAGCCTGCACCGGGGCACAGAGCCCCAGTGCCTGGGGCAGCCCAGCCGGCACCGCCAGCCAGGGTGGAGGCGAAGGCAGGACACGGTGCAACCCCCTTGCAGTCTCTCCCCAGACCTCAGGGTTTTTTTTTTTTCTCCCAGAGCCGCAGCACCGTCCAGCCAACATCCATGCACAGCTCAAGGCTGCGTACAGGCTGGACCGTATCCACAGCATGTTCTGGATGTGGCCATCCTGGTGGGAGGGCCAGCCAGGACGGGTGCAAGGTCAGAAAGGGGCTCCCACGCTTCATGCACTGCCTCGATGCTCAGTCCCGCTCAGGATCAGACCGCGAGGCAGCGGATGGGCTACTAAAGTACGTGGTGCTTACCACACACCTGCCCCGGACCCCGCGCTGAGCTGCCCTGGGCTCCCTGTGCCCAGCACTGCCCAAAAACACCCCGGTGGGTTGTTTCAGCCATCGCAGCCCCACCAGCGCCCTGCACCAGGCTGGTGCCCACCTGCCTGCACCTACGTGCCGGGGCGGGAGGCGATGACGGCACTCGCCCTCGCAGGTGGTGCGGCTGCGAGCGGGGGCGAGGGGAATGCGCCGAGGAC